ACTTAGAATAAGATGACCATACTCAGCATACAGGCCATTACTTAACTCAATCTTCTAAATTCTTGGAATATGAACTTTAGTTTAGTTATAATTAATAGTAAAGGGTGGTATTCGACAACATTTGGAATCGTCGGTTACTTGTAGCGACTTAAAACTGGATTCGTGGGGAGTTAACTGCCGGAGAAGTTTATACGTCCGGTTTTTATAATTACGCCATCAGTGCGAACGTATTGTTCCTAACTCTTTCATACAGCGGAGTCGCGTCAATTTTATGAGCGATGATTCAATTTACTTATACTTCATTTGGTGAACTAAATTTTGTGACTAAAGCATGATAACATCCCATTAAACAAAATTTATAACAGTGAACTATGCTGAGCCAAAAATATGCAATTCTTTTTACCAATACAGACTATAGTGCTTTAAGACCTTTACAAGAGAAGAAACTGTTCCTATCCTTTGGTTCTTTTACACGAAAATTGGATTTTTGCAAAGAAACGGATATTGATCAACAGAGACAACGGAAATCGATCGACAGACATAATCTGTTTTTCTTAGGCGAAAAAAAATTTTACTTCATCGGTACTCTGATCACGAAAAAGACAGAACAGAGACAGTCTTAAATTCTTACCTTTGCAGTCCTCAAGTCGAGTTTCCTTTTTCTTTTCTGCTTGAAGTATCTTCTGCTCTGAAGCTTAGACTTCTGACCCTCCTCAAACTTACTCCAAATTTATATCGTCGGAGTTCTTCGGAAAGTTGACTCCCACTTTCCTCGGTTTACGATACATCCTGGGTGTTTTCCGAGTACATGATCGGATAAGAGGCGTGACGGAATTTAGTTCATTTTGAATATGCCTGCTTAATTGCTCCCATATTTTTAACTTGAGACTTAACTCAGCTCAGAAAAAAAACCCGTAGAAAATTAATTGTACGAGATTAATTAAACTTCTGTCGGAGTCGCACGTTATAAAAAAAGCAGGGCTAAATTTCTATCTTTCTTTCCATGTTGCAAAGGAAAAAGTTGACGATGCTAACTTATCGTATCTAGGTAGGAATCGCAAACACGGCGAAAGGGTATTACCAGCATGACAACACTGAGTTAATCTTTCTAGGTGCGTTCCTCATGAGCCGCTGTCTTTTACGCAGCAGATTAATTCGGAAACCGAAAACTTTAATTATCGCGTTAATAATTTGCCCTATCTTCAATAGTTTGAAGACAACTTTCGAATGTTCATACTTTTTATCACGTCTATAGTAAACAATTTTGATTTTCTGCTAAATTTAGATCTCAGTGAATTACGTCAGTCACAAGGAAGTCGATAGGCGGCGGTGCTTCTCAAGCGCTGCTGTTAAATTTATATCTGGTGTCAAGAAAATTATTTTTACCTCACTAACTTTTCACACGCGATTGAAACCTGTGTCAGTTGTTTTCAACGATAAAAACGCTATTGATGATAAGTAACATTTAGTATCATGTAGTTTACATGCATCGTAACATGATGAAATGTCTCTGTACGAGCCGTGATCACCCACACGTGATGAAAGATTTTGGACATTCAAGCAGTTTGATAAAATATCAAAATTTACATCTTCTTATGAAAGAACTTTCCTGGCTTTTCGTGTTTTGACTGTTTAAGGACTTTTTTCTTCTTATAGAGACAAAAATTCTCGACTCATTTTATCATTTCGTTGAAAAAAATGTCTCATTAGCGTACATTCAGGATAAACTGAAGCAATTTTAGAGGAATTAAACAAATTAGTATTGTTTACATTTTTTTTTCTGACGCGAAGTCCAACCGCATTGATCGTACCTTTGGGTTAAGTTTGTTAACTTGCTGTAAATGACGAGATTCGAATAATCTTTCACGAACGAAAATACTCCAAGTGAACTCTTGATACGTAATCCAATTTACCAGGGCCGTTGATTGAGATCGTAACGTAAAACAGCTAAAAAAAATTGGTGGCCACCTCTTGACCCTTTAAAATTTCCTTTCTAGATATGCAACACAGCTAAGAGGAATTTTTTGAAAATCTATCAGTGCATAACAGCCAAATAGGGAGACACAAAAGACATTAATCTATCAGTGAGGTAATGACACGAAATGCCAGTAACATTAAAGTTTAATGCCTCAAAACATGCGCCGATTTCTAGTTACTCAATATGATTTGTCGATGAAACCTACCACCTTGATCGATAGCATTAGCGCGATTGGTCGATATGCAAAGAGAAATGGATTTTTACTTCAAATCGATATTATTACCGGTAAATTGTCGTCAATAATGGACGAAATCTCATTGTAGTTAAATTTGTTGAAGGTCGAAATTGAGTAGTGAGCGTCGGTGTAAATCCGTTTAGATTTTGAACAATAATCCTCCGTTACATGCCGAGATAGCTCAGTTGGGAGAGCGTCAGACTGAAGATCTGAAGGTCCCTGGTTCAAATCCGGAGAACTGTAATAAGTTCTGAATTATCCCGGGTCTCGGCATTTCCCCCCCCTTTTTTTTTTTAGTTCATATGTATTTCCCATTTTCAGCAAAATTACTTTTTACTCGTTTATAATCTAATCAGTTGATTTTCAAAACCCCATGCATAAAAATTCCCTAACTGTTGAGTCTTCTCGATTCATTGACTTATTAAGCAGATTGCATTGCCATGTACAGATTTACCACCATAAATAATGGAAGATCGCTTCCCTGAGATGAGAGATGGTGATTCCTGAAAATAATTTTGAACACCCAACTCGGAAATCGGATGAAATAGCAGTTTAATTCGGCTATCCCCAAAACTCGTGATTTGTCTATGGTAAGCATATCATTGCTCAACTTCGCTAAGTAATTGGTTTGAAATAACTTCAAGACATAATTAAAATGATGATTACAATTTTTATGGGGCAAATTCCACGGAAGAATCATCGAATGCGCTTGAAAATATAAAAAAATAAAACAAGCTTGATGTTCTTTGAGGGTATTAATGAAATTAACCGTTAGCCGTAAAAGGGCCAAAGAATTTGATCGTTAGGCGTAAAAATTGACAAATTTTAACCATAATTTGTAAACAAAGTTAAACGTAAAGAAAGAATTCGTAGAAAGATTTTAAGCGTTAGCCCTAAATCGGCCGAAATTTTAACCGTTACCCATAAAAGCCGTCACCCCATTGAAACCCTCTTCAGTTTCTGCAGTCAGATTCCATATGTACCATTATTGTTATTTCACGTACACCATGGAATGATTAGTTCAAAATATCACATGATTACAGTAAGTACATCGTCTCCAGCCACATGTTTGACTTTGAATGATTTCCACCAAGAGAACGTCTCAAGTTCTCCTATTTCCACAACAATAATTTGAGTTCATTTCCAATTGAACAATAATTTTTCATTCAGTAACAACAGGATTTGGAAAGTTGTAAGAACGCTATGATCATCGGACAGAGAAAGATGATTTAAATAACTTATTTATTTGTCACGGATGTAAGAATAAAATTAATTGCTTGGGAGTACATCAGGTTTTTCAGATTTTAATCCCACGCCCTGATGTTCATATCATTGCTGATAATCGCGAAGGATCGTTAGCGATCGTGGGCGGTTTTCTACAAAGATCGTACGATGATCGAACGTGAACATTCGTAGGCACGACGAAAGTATACCGAAAAGTAGGGGAAAAAAGTTATTAAGCAATCAAGGAAGTCGTGGGACGAAAACATTTTCTTATTGCCATATTTTTATGAAGAAAACTCACCTGAATTTCTCAGAAACAGATTGCAGCATTTTTTTAGACTCCTCCGAATCCGAAATACATGCTATAAATAACAATTTAATTATAAAAGTCTGCTAAAACGTGCTCAAAGTTTCTTAATTAAAGAACGATTATCTCCGATGTGGAAGTTCTGGATGTGAATCGCGTTAACAACATTTACGGTGTTTAAATCTCGCTACTGAATTGTTAAAATAAGACGAAGAGTTGTCCGATCAGCAGCACCCCGCTATGAAATATCCCTAAAAATATCACAAACCGACAGAGACGCGCGTACATTTATCAGTCGATCAAGAGCATGCTTCAATTCAAACTTCAGTTTAAAATTTAAAATTTCGTCAACTATTCTTTTCATTGTGGAGGAAAATCCATACAAATTCTATTAAGAAACTATAAGCAGCTTTATTCGTTTAATTATCGGTTCCAAATCTCTTTGTTCTCAGTTCGATTAGTTAATCGATTGACCTGGCTTTTAATGATAAGCCATCTGTTAGCTTCCTTTCAGAAATAAATAAATAACACATTTTCATTTTCAATGGTCCGCTTTGAATATGTATTCCCATCGAGCCAGCAGTTAACGACATTTCCTTGAGAGCATGGATCAATATCAGCATATTACTGACACCGTCATAGCGGAAAAAAAATGAAATATTCATGCGTGCGGGTCGAACTTGATTAAATTCCAATTTATGAAAAGTGAATTCTTACTAAAACATCTTGTATACATGTATAATTTCACCATTAGCTTTGTTCACACAATGCCTAAGCTGACAATTATAATCATTCAATAAACTGGCAAACAATCATTGTTTGCTATATTTCATTTTTTTGTTGTTTCTAAGCAAAATCGTTCTGTCTAATTGAGGCTGTAATCTGAGTTCGTTTCGATTGTACGAAAGAATTCATCCAAAAAAAATAAAAGCCAAATTTCATATAATTTTATGAATGTTATCATATTTAAGTATATTTGTCATATATGGCAGACGTGAAGGCAGCAAATTTCTGCACTTTATACAGTATTGAGAATTCAAACAAATAAAGTGAAAAGTTTGTCATGTGTGCCATTGACACATGGCTGAAGATAATCTAATTAATTCACTCACAGGGAGTGAAAAATTAAAAATCAGTTCGTTATCACTGATCCACGTGGAGCAGCTATCAGTGAACTGGCTTATCTTGAAATTTTTCTTATCTCAAGCCAAGTATATTTTAAAATGCGAGCGTTTTATTATTGTGATACTGTTCAACGCCAGTGCAAGGAGACCAGAAGCTTGTTCGTGAAAGCACCTGAGTGACTCATTCCTTCATCTTTGACATATTGATTTGTCATTAGCAAAGGTAAGTTCAAATAGGATTGAACACACACAAAATAAATTGTAGCATCAAGCATATATGACCAAAAACGGCTACTAAAATAAAGAACTTTCAAACCTGAATCGAATAGTATCAACCACCGTAAGGTTCACGAATTATTTCTCATTCTAGAAGCTAGTTCACCGACCTCTATGTAAATAGTTTTACCAATCCATTTTCTCTCCATACAGAATGACCAGATATCGTTTCTGGCACCATAAGGGCGACGTACAAACACTTTTTGAACGGCCTAACAGTCCATTAATATTAGAGTTTTTGGTGTTACAACAATTAATCGTGATTTAGCAGGGATTTGAATTCAATATTGAGCATAAAAACTGTTAACAATATTTTCGTTGTTATTCGACCATTTTTCGATGACTAGAGGTAATGACTGATTGGGCATGGCGACCTTTTCAAGGCTTCAGCCTACGAAGTAATAAATTGAATATTTAGATGAGCTTCTTCTTTGTTTATCTGATAATTCATTTGATTTCAAAGTTAAAGCAGTCACTAAGAGACCATAGGATTAAACAGGCGTATTATTCAAGTTTATTTTACAACTCCATGGCCAGCTCTAATTTGATCCGATATTGGTTTATCTTTCTTTTGTCATTTTACGATCTTAATTTTTTTTTTTCTGTAATAATGTTCCCTTATTTGACAGAATTTTTCGGAAGTACAATGAGAAATGAACCTTAAAAGCCATTTTTTTTTTTGCATATTCTGTACTGGAGCTGAAATAAAAGGAGATAGCAGCCTGCCTGATCAGTTCATGAGAGAATTCGAAAAAGTTCTATCAATAATATCTGTCTCTAAAATAAATATGGATTTGAAAAGATCCAAAAGCTCGCGTACGTTTGACTTTGAAATGATCATCATGAACGTACATGTAAGGAAAAGCAGTCAGCCTTATTTCCCGACCGTTGATTATAAGAGTAAATTAAGGTTGTTCTAGGAATAATTAATTCAACCGTCAAAGATGGAAGATGGCGAATGAAGTGTTCAAATATCTCCCCAACCATTCCCACCCCCCATAACAGAATAAATTGAATACATAATAATTATAAGAAAAAATATTATAATAATAATAATTATTTTTAAAATGATAGTAATAACAACTGCAAAAACGGATTCCCAAGCTGAGAACCTGTTGAAACAGACCGAAAATATTATAACCATGAAAACAACATCTGAATTATCAGCTTCAGTCACGTAATATCTTTACTCTCTTTTCTTATTATTCTTTCCTCAGATGCAACCATCTTTCATCTTTTCTACAATTTTTTTATTCGGGATCATAACCCTTTCATCCTCTAATAGAATCCCTTCTGGTTATCAACTATGCCGTGTAGCATGTGCGAACCATGCCAGAAACTGTCGCTTTATCGATGACTGTCCTTCGTCGTGTGCTAAGGACGATTACCATTGCTCCCTGCAAGTGTGCTTAGATATAAGCTGCACTTCTAAGGGGAAAAGAGATCAAATTGAAACCACCGAAGTACAGATCTGATGAGCTGCTCAGATTACGAGAAAGACATCACATCACCAGGAAGTCGGATCATCTTGGGTATATCTCATTACGGAACAAGGAAAAATGTATATTGCCTCGATCGTAAAAAGGAATTATATTGATTCGTAATGATAACATGATAACACAGAATACTTCTGTAGGTAGTACGGTACTGATCATGATTAAAATTTAACCTTTTTTTCAAATGAACGAAGCCGACATTTTATTTAAAGGTCTTAAAGATTTTTTTGAGACCACATTTCAATGACAATTTTTCTATAGCTTACAATAACATCTTAGACCTTGCAATACTGTTGCTAATGACGTTTGAGGAGCTCTATAGTTATAAATGGCAGGATTTCAACCGAGAGCCAGCGTTTCTTTCATCGTAACAGCTTTACAACGAATTTTTTTTTTGTTTCAAGATGTTCTCCTGACATGTACTCTCAATCACAAGGAAATAGTTTAACAAATTAAAGTGTGACTACCAGCAACTATGTCTCAATAGCGTTGGTTTTTGGGTACAGAAGGAAGACTTGCGGGATTTGTTTTGAAAAGTTCATTCGGATACACCAGCTTCATAGAACAATTCTTGCAGGCTCTCTTCCTTATTTTTCGGTGCCAGACCCTCGCCGCCTCAGGCGCCAGCGGTTTTGCTCGTTTGCTGCTACTACAGGCTAAAGCGAATCATCTGAAAAATAATAAAAATTCTTGAAAAAAAAGTAAAAGAAAACAATAGTCAGCCAGTAGCTGATGCGAAGATAGAAAACGTGTCTTTATGAATCACAGAGCCAATTGCACAACTAGGCGTGCATTCAAATGATAAAGAGTGAGACTAAAACCGGCAAAAAAAATCAGAGCTAGTCAGGCAGGTCACCAACAAATTGACTCCCCCAAAATATCGCTGATTTGATAACATACCCAATCCCAGCAGCTGAACACTAACGTAAAAAAAAAAAAAAAAGCGGCCCTGCTGGACAATAAGACCATTCGGTCAACCAACAAATGATTGACTCGTGGTTTGTTGTTATGTCGTTTAACGGATTATTTCATCATAACATGAAAAGCCTCTGACACAGGAACAAAAAGACCATGTAGGCCAACATTTATCTGGAATGTAATCTGAGACATAACGATGGGAAGAGATGCCATTTACTTAATCCTCTTAGAAGGAAAGTGAGTCAAACATTTTTGCTGCTGATACAAAGCAGCTCAAAAGGTGATAGTTTCGCGAATGAATAACCCAAAATTTTGGCCATTTTTGCGCAGAAAAAAGAAACGAATTACATCCACCTGTTATTTTTTGGTTACAATCCAGTTGGCGTTTAGTGGGCTCCTTGATCGTATCATGTCACTTCAAAATAGAGAGACATGGTCTGACATAAGAGAGATTAAATTTACATCGGTTTTACCGAATTTAAGATTTGTATTGGGCAATACTGAAAAATAAAAGTCTCTTTTTTCCCTCATGATTTCGTTAAGTGGCTCTTGGTTAGTGTCACGTATTTCAAATTCGAAGTGACTTAAAAGATTTAAAATTATTTGTGTTTTCTCGAATTCGAAGTGAGCATATGCTCATTTTGTGAAGCCAAAACAAATACGACACTCACAATGCTCACCCACGACAACTAAATGGTATCAACAGAGCATTTAATGCGAAAAACAATTGAAGCATGTCTTTAGCCAAACAACAGATGGCTCTAAAATAATTGCAAGAACAAAATTTTAAAATCGTTAAAAAAAATTATCCCTTGATTTGGGCCATCATCAATTTTGTTGTGAACCGAGGTGTAATGGAGAAATCCTGATGTATGCAAATTTGAGCAAGGATTGAAAGAAGCCTTGCTTTATTTACCTAATAATCAATTTCAAACAAGAAATCCTGTCAAGTTAATGACATTTTTTCTTTTCTTTCTTTTTTTTTTTAATATATTCAACACAAATACACACACTCTACATTTTATCACTTTTGGTGTACTGTTTTGAAGTTTTTCGTGACCTGCTGGGAATGCTTTCTTTGTTTCAATGGTGATTAAATGTGATTTCATAGCCATATGAATATTACAGCTTCACTTCAAGGCTGCCTCTTCACGTCGAACTATGTTGATATGTTTGCTTTTAGAGGAAAATTTGAGGAGTCACTATACTGAAATTTTTTGGTTGATATTCGCAGTGATTCCGAATGTCCTGCTTTCACTAATTATATTTGAATAATTCTATGTAATTATTTAATTCTTAGTGTTAGTGTTACTTCTTGCTCTCAGCAAAAGCAACTACTGGTTGACTTACATGAACTGTCCGATTTGTAGTACATGACGAAAACAAGCTAGCCAGTTCTCTCCTAAAAACTGGATTCCTTATTCCATACACCATTGGGTTGCACATGCTGTTCGCGTAACCTAACAACAGTGTACCCACGTCTACCGCTCTTGGAAGTGGGTTTAAATAGTAAACGTCCAAAAACATGGTCATTACAAATGGCGCCCAACAAGCCATGAAACAGGCAACAACAATTAATAAAGTATTGGTGAGCTTAATTTCATCTTGCGACATCTTGAAGACCGTTTTATTTCTTTCACGACGCCAAATGCATACGGCCGCATGTTCTCTTTCCGTGCCTAATTCTTCGTTTTTACGAATGTTACCTCTTTGTTCATTTACCCGCCGCGCAGCCTCCCTCGTAAACTTTAAGATATTATAGTAAGAGAGAGACATCGCGATAAGTGGACCACAAAAACATATGACCATCATGAAATACATGTAAAAAACATTAGAAGGCCAAGATACAAAACAGTAAGATTTCCCGGGAATATAACGATATTCCGCCCAGCCAAACAACGGTGGGACGGATAACAACACAGATATTAACCACACGACTGCGGCAAACAAAGCCGACTTCTTCGTTGTGAAGGTGATGGAGTATGTCTTCCACTGCACTACGTAATAGTATCTGTTAATGGCTATCATAGCAAGCGACATCACTGATGAAACAAACGAAAGCATCGTGATGAATCCAAAGAAAACGCAGGCAGTATTTCCAAAAATCCAACGTTCTTTGATGATAGTGACCACAGTTATAGGCATGTTTAACATGGATACGAGCAAATCAGCAAATGCGAGATTGAGAAGAAAACCATTGGAGATGGTGCGAAGATGCTTCTTTCGAGTGAACACAAAAAATAAAGTAGCATTTCCTAAAGAGGAAACTCCACAGATAAAACTGAGAACTATGGCCTCGATGATCGTGCTCACCTTTTGAGTCATTTTTCGTTCATTAAACTCAAATTGTTAGTGTTTAAAGATAAATCTTCTTTATGCAAGTCGCCAGCTGACGTAAATTAAGGCAATATGAAAATGAGCGCCAAATAAAATTAATGATGGTTTGCTCAGGTTGATTCTTAAATTTGATTCGTAATTCATTACATTGTTCCTTCTGTATCGTTTAACCTGTTATCCAGTGAAAAGCAAAATTTTCGAATGGTTTTGTAAGGTAGAATAGCCATCTCTCACAATAGGATATTTCAGCATCTTCCATTAAGGCAGTTAAATATTGGCGTGGCGGTGTCTTCGGGCGGTGAATGTTTGAAATATGTCAGAATGCACACTCAGTGTGTTGATTCACGATTATGATACCGAGCAAAGTTTCCGCCCACCAAATAAAGACTTTCTAAAAATAATTGGTGAATATTATAATCGTTTCAGGTCTAGCTTTGCAGTCTCCAGATGCAAAACCATATCTTATGAGTCGTTTATAAAAGATTAACGATCCCCTTTGAATACACATACGTCACATGATAATTGGATTTATGTGAAATTCAAACACTTCAACTGGGCCAATTGTTTCCGACGTTTTTGCGAGTAATTTCCGAACTCCATTAATTCGAAAATCCGGCTTTGTCTTACATCATGTAGGTTTCTATCGGAAAATGAATAACCTTACAAAACACACTGATTCAAAATTTTGGAAGAAAATAAGAAACAAAATGGATGGCGAATCGACTAAAAATTTATTCCGCATTCCGGATTGCGCCTTCATTTTGAGATTTAGATAGAAGATCCCATGATCTTCAGTCTTTGGACAGCGTATATTGTTCAGGTTGTGTCCTTTAAAAATTTGGCCGAGTTTTCCAGATCTATGCCTTTGGAGAAAGTTTAAACTTTTCCTGAATTTTTTCCCTTTTGGCATCCTATTTAGTTTGCAATGCTGTGGGGTTATATTTTCTATAAAAACCAGCAAAGTTAGAAAACTTCGAGTACAATCTAAACACTGTAACGAGCGAAAAAAGAACAAATATGCACGCGCATACTCTTCTAGAGTAAAAAAGTTTACAATACGGAGTTTTCTACATTAAAAAAAAAAAGCAACGGAGGACTTTTCCGTGTTTCCATAACTTCATCTAAACACACGGGGGTACTGGGTGCATTCAAGAAAATTATGCAAACCCGAGACGTGGACAACTTTGCATAATGTAGGTGGCAAGCTGGCAAGCTGCCGGTGTGTTCAGTCATTTTCTCTCTCCGTGGTCCATTTGGGGGCCAAAATAAACCCCTCTGATCAAGGATCTAAAAGGTCTCGATTATAGTAACCCATAGTCCATCTCTCAATGTTCGATAATTCTTTTTCACTACGTAAACGAAACATGGCAGACTCCATTATCTCATGCTTGCTGAGCAGGTGCTCCTCGGAATTATTATATTGAATAACTTCAATTAGTTAATGATTTTGTTAAATTACTCCGATCCAAAAGAAATATTTTTGCGACTGAATTGGATCTCATCTACATAAAACTACTTGACTAAAATTTAAAAAAAGTCAGAGCCCTTTCGCTGTGAAGAAGGGCTAACGCTCGAAACGTCAGCTTTTAAACACTTCACGGTGGTCTATTTACATTATCTCCTCGATCGTACTGTGGGCGCGAACTCAGTTCTTTTATTACAATCAATAATTGCCAGACGGATCTCAGATCTGCCGTAGCCTAATTTGCATAAAGTTTTTCGGAGGGCAAAGCTCGTCATGAGGCTCCTCAACCGACGCAGCACCACAGATTCTTTAGAAACTTACCCCCTTTAAAATGAAACATTGTTTACTGCTAACCCTAAGCAATTCAGGCTTTCCATTTAGGATGGGTAAAATTTATCTGCTTCTTTCCTCCTTGAGTCCTTTCTTCGACGAGAAATTCAAATGTTAAGAAAGAGAAGATGAAGCAGTCTCTTTGGATGATGAGGCGAGGTGTGGTAATTCAGACACTCCCATTTTCTTTGCAGTTCTGATCTTGGATGAAGCTCTCCTTTTAGATGGGTAAGGTACGTTCCCTACAGAAACTCTTTGAAGTCTTCGGCAGATCGTAAAGACTCGAATAAGTTCCCTTCGAAACGTTTGATTCCTTATCCCATACACAACAGGGTTGCACATGCTGTTGGCATAACCAAGCAACAGTGTGCTGATATCAATTGATCTTGGGATGCGTGATGATGGTAAGTAGACATCTATAAACATGGTGACAGCAAAAGGCGCCCAACAACCGACGAAACATGCAACAACGATCACTAAAGTATTGGTGATTTTGACTTCCTCTTGAGAAGTTCCTATACGTCTTCTGTTTTCCTCCATTTTTTGACTCGCATCCTCGATCATGTTGTTTTCCCTATGTCGATGCATCTGCTGCTTAGCTCGCCTGGTAAATTTTAGAATTTTGATATATGTTATACATATAACAGTTAGAGGGCCGAAGAAGCATATAATAAGCATAAAATACATATAGTAAACATCAGAAGGCCAGAATACGAAACAGAAAGATTTCCCAGAAATAAAATCATATTTTCCCCAGCCTAACAGTGGTGGAATGGATAATGACACAGATGTTATCCACACGCTTCCCACGAACAGGAGGGATTTTCTTGGCGTAAAATTAGATGAGTAGTTTTTCCATTGCACCACGTAATAATATCTATTGATAGCTATCATAGCCAGGGACATCACTGATGAAACAAACGAAAGCATCGTGATGAATCCGAAGAAAACGCAGGCAGTATCTCCAAAAATCCAACTTTCGTTGATAATGGTGACCACAGTTATAGGCATGTTTAACATGGATACGAGCAAATCAGCAAATGCGAGATTGAGAAGAAAACCATTGGAGATGGTGCGAAGGGTTCTCTTCCTCAAGAGTATCACAAACAAAATGATATTTACAAAAACAGACGCTACACATATAACAACGAGAATGGTGGCCTCGATGATTGCACTTGATTTAAGCGTCATTTTTGAACATTAAAACTATCAAAGCATGTCAGAGTAACACCGTTTGAGATGTTTGTTTCTGAACGTGTTTCATACGTGGATTTATATAGAGCTAATCAATATTTATGGGGTTTTTATCATGGTACTTGCCTCCTGCCAGACTCTATTATTCAATTAAACTTTCCATGGAGCAAAATGAGGCCTTGACAATGGTAATTCATTTGGCGAAAAATTATGTAAATATTTTTCACTTCTCCACTGGCGTAAGCATAAGGAATTATAAATTTTTTTCAATATCTTCCCATCGTAGAAATTTCATTTTAGCTAAGAACAGAAATAAAAATGCAGCCAGACTAAAAAACTTGTCCGTTTTTATACTGTGCACTAATTACCACTTCGGTGAGGTATCTCTTTGTTACCCCGTTTTTCCTGAATACGTCTCTTAGAATAGGCGACCGCCAACAAATAACGCCCTCATACTACATGTGTTTTAAACTCTTATTCTGAGCGAAAAAATGGCGAAGAAGCGTAAAAAGATCATTTGATATGTATACATTGCTGTAGACCAGCCACCTCAAATAGCCTTATATATCAACATTATTATCACCCTTGAATGAAAGTTAAAGCTGGAGGCAAACAGACAACAACATGGTAATGTAAATCTATCAAATTAAATACAGGAAGGCACTGATGAATAAACATCAGTGCCTGACAAAGACTCAGAATAACAACTAACCAATTAGTGCATTGCTGGTGGCGAGTTTCATTTTTTTTTCTCAGCTACATGCACTTATAAATACTCTCTCATTAAGTGGGAATATTACGTTCAGTTGTTCACGAAAAAATGTCTCTTTATGAACCTGCTCTGTAAGGTGAGCTAGGTGTGGTTGTTACGCATCTAGATGATTGTTACGCATCTATCACTTTAAAAGCCAAGCTATCATTTCATCACATTTTTACCTCCATAATTATGAATTATATATGAAATGATGACACTGAATGTGTTTTGCGACCTTTTGATATTAAACTTTTCAAATTCACAAATTGTCTCCAAATGCAGTAATCTTATAACTACATGCGCCACTATTTTGAATATTGTTTAGCAACCTGGCCGCTTATAAATAAAGGGGTAAGTTTCTAAAGAAACTGTGGTGCTGCGTCGGTGGGAGAGTATAGCAGGTAATTTAGTGTGAACAATTGCTCTGACGAAGGGCTAACGCTCGAAACGTCAGCTTTTTTACTCTTTACGGTGGCTAATTTACGTTTTCAACCCAGTTGTTAACACTAAATTACTGGCCGCTTATACTTGACTTGATAAAGTTGTACTCCTTTTTATTCCCATCTCCTAGCGATCTTCTGAAACAACAATGAGAAATTTAACTTAAATAATGATATTTTTTCTACGATGATCATCCCAGCAGTAGTTTACATGACTAGAACCTCAACCGTCTTCGACTAGGGTACTAAATTGCTTCCAATTGGTACCTCAAAGCGCGATTAGTGGGTAATGTGTATATCCCTTAACGTACCAACTACGCATATATGCGTAGAAATATACGACGTGATTTTAACGCGCAATTGTGGTGAATTATTGGGGCTTGGGCACTGGTGTTTCATTTCAAATGACTTAACATAAAGTGTAGTTTGAGGCAGTGAAAGAAATTGGCCGATTTGGCGAGTTGTATTAAAGAATTTGGAAATTTAAATTTCGAGTGTGTATTGTCTGTGGTTTTTTAAAAATGGCGGCGTGTGAAATATCTCCTGAAGCATTCTGTGCGACTAGAAGCGATGAAAACGATGTGGGAATCGAATTTATCGACGAAGACAATTTACCTTTGGCTTGTATCAGTGTTTTGGAGCATCCCGAGTCAGAAGAAGAGATTGACTCCGATGATTTGGCAAAATCTAGCGGGGATGAGTCAGAAGAACTGGAAAGTGAACAAGATGAAGACCCAGGGGAGGAAGAAGAAGTATCGGCATAGAGCGAAGAAATAACGAGAAGGGATGATATTGATTTCCGTGAACTCGTGGGATTGGCAGCAAATGTAAACATTAGATCTTTGACATCAAGCAAAGGGTTTTTTGATCTGTTCACTGCTCAGGTATGGGAGTTGTTAGTTGCTCAGACTAATCTGTATGCAAATCAAAAACGAGGAGCTGCAGAAAAGTCTGTGTGGTATCCAGTGTCTGTGGAAGAAATGAAAGGTTGGGTTGCCATTTATTTGTGTATAGGAATTATTAACAAGCCAAATATCCCTTCCTACTGGAGTACTGACCCCATGCTGTCCTCCCCATTCTTTGGTGCCTCTATGTCAAGAACAAGATTTCTTCAAATTCTGCACTATCTTCACTTTGCTGATAATTCCCTGGTTCCCAGGCCTGATTCACCAGATTTTAACAAGTTGTACAAAATTCAGCCTCTGCTGGATCTGATTATACCAAGGTTTAGGGCAGTTTACAGTCCTGAGAGGCAACTTGCTGTCGATGAGACCTTGATAAAATTCAAAGGGAAAGTTTATTTTAGGCAATTCATCCCCATTAAACCAGGAAGGTTTGGAATCAAGGCATTTACATTGGCTGGATCAACTAGTGGCTATGTTCTAGGGAGCAAGATATACACTGGAAAGGAAACCAATGAAGTCCAGAAAGATCTAGGAAAAAGGGCTGTTATGTCATTGATGGAACCTTTCCTTGACAAAGGCTACTATGTGTTTATGGATAATCATTACACTTCTGTTGGGTTATTTGAGGAATTAGAGGGAAGGAAAACTCTGGCTTGTGGCACTGTGAGGTCTAACAGGCTAGGCCTGCCCAAGGACATTTGTGATGTGAAGTCAAGCAAGGTTAAAAGTCTGAAAAGAGGAGAGTCCCTTTACAGACAGAAAGGTAATTTAACTTGCGTGACATGGTGTGACAGAAAACCTGTCAGTTTCTTAGGCACTGTACCCACAAGTGAAGATGATTCTGGTGTTGTGGAAAGGTCAGTGAAGGTAAAAGGCCACTGGGTGAAGCAAAACTTTGCCTGGCCTGGTATGGTTAGCCTCTATAATACTTACATAGGAGGTTTTGATGTCTCTGATCAGAGAGTCAGCTCATATGCAAGGCTAATGAGAGGTGCTGTGTGGTATTATATATCATAGAAGTGTGTGTTTCAAATGCATACATTTTGGAGAGAAAATCTCCATGTAGAACTGCTTTAGACTTCAGAAAGTCATTGATAGGTGACTTGATTGAAGGAAAGTCCTTCAGAAGGGACACTCAAATGCGGTCACCACCCAATTCTGAAATTAGATTTAATCAAGAACACTTTCACCACCTGGTAAGCAATGACAAAAGATCTACTTGCAAGGTTCACTTACAGTGTGTAGATACCTTTTATAGCTGTGCAGTGTGTGGAGTACGCATGTGCCTGGAGCCCTGTTTCCTCAGATATCACACATTGAGAGACTTCTATTTCAATGATGAAGATCGTGAAGGCCCCAGACGTCTGAAAGAAGGAGGAGGGAGGCCTTGCACCAGCGGAAGAGGAAGAGTTCTCCAAAATTGAACATGCATGGACAAATGTGATAATTGAAAAGAAATAACAAAGGTAAAGTGATATATGAGACAATGAAAGTGACTTACTCTAAGACTTTCTCAAGATTAGATTTTGTTACTAATAGGATAATTCATGCCCTTACAATAATCTTAATGGGTCAAATTTGTGTGCAGAGAAGTGTTTTTAACCCTCAAAAGGTCATGTTTCTTTTTTAGAAAAAGCAATAGTTCTGAAATTTATTTGTTACAGGATTCTTTCAATTAGTCCTCCTTGAAACTTCCAATAATTACGCTAATTATGCATGTCGTGACGTCATCATATGATGTGTATCCCATAATAAGTTAAGTAAATTGATAGGAAAATTTTCCACTGGTTATGAACATATATGGTCATATGGGGCTTTATTAAAAATAAATTGATCTACAACTGATTTTGTAAACATCACTCGGGTTTCTTCAAAAAAAGTAACATACCCGTGGTATGTTAAGGGATATGTAGTGCGAGTTTGAAGTGAGAATAAAATGGTTTTTGGAGCCGAAAAGTATCCTTTAAAAGGGCGATCGACCAATCTAAGGTGCAGTGTATTAGATTTGTGAAAAAGCTGTAATTATGAAAAGTGTTAGTTTTCATTATGAGTGACTTGGGTTCACCGATATGATAAAGGAAAGTTTTGCCTCGGAGTCTCTTCGTCGACACCGCGTAGTTTGAGCATTCTTGAATGAATGGAAAAAGGATAAGTAATAATTGGAAAAAAACACGCAAGATTCAAAAGATTTGTAGCTTACATAATCACTTCCATATGTTTAATTGTGGAATCAATAGTTCCTTTTTGAGGGGCTATTACCATTCTATTGAATATTGTAGAGTGTAAGTGATTTTAAAGGAAGCAATTAGCGCCGAGGTGGTATAAGGATGTCATATCGAAAAAAAGGTGTTTTAATTGAACCATGAAGTTCAATGGGTGATAAGCTTGCTTTCATCTACAACGACGAAAAATAGGGTACAATTGATTGGAAAACAGTTAAAATCACCAAAAAAGATGTAAAGTTGATCATTAGAGAGTGTTGTTATGAATTATTAGTAAAGGTTCAACCTCACACGAGATAATGTCCACAGTTGATCTTCTCTTGCTTCACAGGGTTAGTCTATTACTCTGCAAATTCATTACACGACAATGCAAGCATCAATAGCGTTAACACACAGCAAACCCACACGTGTCGATAATTTAGGTATTCCAGGAAGCCAATACAATAGTTGACCACTTTCAGTAGAGGTTAGTTAACAATTATTCACCGAAGTAGTAGTGAATAGTGGTGGATACTTACCGTGCTGCGAAGTGGCGAGATAAATACCACCTCTTTACCAACACTGGGGTAAATAATTATTTTAGAGTTAAGGAATGGACAGTGTCAAGCGTGCGTTTATCCAACTCGGGATGCACGTGGGTAGTAGAGAGAGCACGAAGGTAGCGTAAGAGATGCTCGAGGCGCAGCCGATAGCATCTTTTAGACTACCTTCGGGCTCTCCCAACTATCCACGTGCAACCCGAGTTGGATAAACGCACGCTTAACACTGTCCATTGTTTTTCTAACATAGCGAGTCACTTTTCACGCTGAAAAGTCGCTTTTTCTTTATTGATTGAATTGAAAATTTTCTTAACCGTGCGGGTGCAGACTAAAAATAGAACGACTTGTTTTTTCAAAAAATTTATTTTATACGCTTACATTTGCGAGTGACGAGATAAGCGTATCAAAATAGCACACATAAGCCGTCCAGCTCAATATTTGACTCAGACGTCAAGGAAAAGTTCCTTTAAAGTTTATTCATTCAAAATGATGCAGCCTTTAAAAGTCTGGGGTTTTACAAGTCATTTTGAAGGGCTCGCCGAAGCGACAACGAGTAGCACATTCTGAATCGTGCAGTTGCTGAAAATAGAGTCAAAATTACACGACACTGGCCTCGAATGCTGGTTTTCTATAACTGTAGCAGACAGTTGATTGCTGAACCGAAACGTAAGCCGTGGACCTTGAATACGGCTGGAAAGGACTTCGCTGCATTGCAAAGGCTGAGCGGTCGAAGGACTTGTGTGTTGTGGTAAGCCGAGCTCTGCTTATTCCTATGGCCTGAAATCGCCATGATACGGCGGTTAGGGACTCCAGCATTCAACCAGAGGGTGATTGCTGTGGCATAGACCGAGTGGTTAATATAAACTCTTGACAGCTGAGCTGCTTGACCAATGTCCTTCGGTCGGCACACGGGATCGGAAGGCGCCCAGTTTCCGTTTGGATGTTTTTCTCATTGCGCTATGGTGTCAATTACAAGAAAATAAGGTAATCCATCGATTTATTGTCAAAACATTGTATTTGTACTGTATTTGAGACAGAACTTGTATCATCTGTTTATTTTCAATCATATAAGAAGAAAAAAGCTATCTAAAATTGGAACTCACCCTTGAACGTAGAAACGCACCTGTTAGCGCTTTTCTTGGTCTTGTTTTATTGTTTATCTTCAAGTATTTTTTCAAATCCCGCTCGGATAAATTTGCGAAACTAGTAGCACTTTCGCTTTGTTGATGTTTAAACGCTTGCGATGTTTTTGTAACCATTTTAGACACGTTTTCTTAATCTTCAAAGTCATAAAGAAACCCTAGCTCAAATGTTGGGTTATTAGCATCCATTATAATAGCTAAATTTAAGTTTTACTAAGAAAAAGTGCTGAAAAAATTTTTCGCTGGCAAGAAATTCACCGATAATGACGTCAGCCTGACCCATCCCTATGAACCATCCATTTCCTTTTCATAAAATATTAGCCAATCAGAGCGCGCCTTACAATGTAACTATATTGTAATATATATCACACAGATACCCAAAAAAATATGTTAATTTCTTTCAATATACCAAAATATGGTCGGAAATGAAACTTTTGACGCATGATTTTGTCTCATAGGCTGCTCAGCGGTGAATAATACCTGCTATTCACCCCTGAATCAGCCAATCAGCGCGCGCGAAAAGTGCTATTCACTTGTGTGGTATATGCTAATACAGGTTAGAAAGTAATACTAGATGATATGGCAGTTGTGACTCGTTGATTACAGATAACACAGAGAATAGGGAAGAATTGAAATGAAAGATGCAATCTGTGTGTTTTTTGCAAAGCGTGGTTTGCTCAGCTTTTCCACCCAACGTTGCTATAAATACATACTTGTTAAAGGACAGACTGATTATCAACTGAAGATCTTTCTCTATTTTCTGGCGGAAAACCCTCTGGTGTAACGAGCTACACTACTTGCAGAAGCCTCGGTGTTCAAGCGGTCAACTCAGTGAAAGAATACGTCTTTCTGGCGGTATTAATTTTCATTTTGCTTTGAGTATGGCTGGCGTTTTTGAAAATTAAATGTCGTTCTATGAATGTCACTTTAGTAAAGCAAACTCTCATGGCTCTGTGTGGTTTGGTTTCTTGATTTTATGTGAAAGTTGTGTGTGACAACTAATTCGCAAGGGTGGTGCGTAAATTGGGGAACATATGCCACTCATTTCGTTTTCTTCGATAGATTTTACTACTAGGAATGGATTTGAAGTCTCTTTCTGTCTGTCAGCTGACCTCATTTGAAGCATGTCGCAACATTTTATTCTTGTAAGTCAACACTGTACGGTTAAGCGGTCAACGTGACAAGGATCTGGTGAGTAATTTTGTTTTAACTTAATGTAACAGATTACTTTCACATAGTTAGAGACTGTAAAGTTACACTTCTCCAGAAAGCATGACGTGCTCCGGCAACCGCATAGGAACCAGTGCTGCACGTTTCAGACGTAAACTGAGACAGATTTTATGAAATAAATGCTGTTCTATTTTGCTCAATATTGCGAGAGCTTATAATCCATTTTCCCTAAAGGAAAGGGCGTACATATTTGTCACAATTGTTCAATGCTAAAATTTCACTTCGCAAGAATAGCACTTGTCTAAAGGATGAAAATCACTGCTATTTGTATGGGATGCTAATAACACCTTTATTGCCCTTCAACAGCTAAATCCTCTTTATCTTCAACAATCCTTACTCCCTTCTGGATAATTCTCTCCTCTCTGGTGTTTTTCAACACCAGCAATCAATACATCTTCTCGATAAAAAGGTCATGCAATATATGAATGGAATATTTTCTTAATATTACAACACCCACTCGAAGTCCCAGTCCTCACATAACTTTGAGATGAGAAGACTAAGAAGATTCAGATTATTCTACTTATCTTGATCAATATGAGTGCTGTCTGTCAAATTCTCTACATTCTTAGGCGAGGATAAATAGCTTAGTGAGTTCGATTCCTCACACGCTCTTTCAATAAACAGTTTTGATACCTCAAGCATTACTGGCGCTTGTACCGCATTCATCTGGCAAGCCATCATGGGACTGATATGAAAATTGTTCACGTTAACCACTTTAGTTACACGGAAACGTGCACAATTACAGCCCGTGACAAGCTTAATAAGCTCTCTTCTGAAAGCTTGATTCCTTATTCCATACACAACAGGGTTGCACATACTGTTCGCGTACCCAAGCAGCAGTGTGCTGATGTCAATTGCTCTTGGCAATGGGCGAGGGTGATAAA